CAATTCACAGAATACTGGATACTACGACTGTATTGCCAGAATGAATTCAGTCCACATACCATAGGGGTATGCTAGTTGAATATGTCCGTAACTGTACATACAATACATATAAAGACACAATATAATATACATACATATAATGTGTATAATATACATACGTATATGTAAATATATACACATTTATGTTTGTGTGTATGTATGTATAGTAATACATTAAACGTAATATGAACGTACATATATGCATGTATGTTTTTTATAATTATTATATTCAATACAAATATGTGTGTGCCTGTGTGCATGCGTGTGTGTGTGTGCGTATTTGATTTACATACGAGGCTACACTTCCATAAAACTCTATTCTACTCCTCTTTTGTTATCTAGTGAATTGTTGAAGTCTGCAAGATGTGCGAGGGCTTGTATGAGTGTTCATCCGTCTGTGCCAAAATTGTTCATAATTCTTTCTTAACGGCGACTTTCCCTTGCTCCCAGCGTCGATACCAACGGAGATTTGTAATCCTGCAAGTCCAAGGACGGAGGTCGCGTATATAAGAAGATTGGCGACTTGCCCGGACACATTCGCAGACTGGCAATCACAAAAGCAGCTGACATGCAGTTCTTGGTAAGTAATTTTTGATTACTAAAAGTTACAACTATGTATTATTTTCATGTACGTCTATTGAAATTTTACCAATAGTTGGGATTCTCAGAACAATAGCATAATATTCCGTTTTTATATCCGACTAATTTCACTGCAACTCAGATGTTAATCCTTGCCGCTTTATCTCCCGAACAGGCGGTTCTGTTCCTGGCGGCCGTTGCTTCCGCTCTTCCGATGGAGTACCTGGAGAGCGACGCCGAACCTGTCCCCGCCCTCAACTACGGCTCTCGTAGCTACCACCGAAACTACGGCTCCGCACAAACACAGAACCTTCACGGACTCATCGTCAACAAGAGGTTCACTGATCCTCTTCCCGAAGCCGTCGACGAGCCAGTCGTCCTGTACAATCACGTCCGCCCTTACCCTGTCGGCCATAGCTTCGTTCACCCTTACACCTACAGCCACGCCCACGCCCTCCGCATAAGGCAGGCCCAGCCCGAAGTAGACCTCTCCGTCGTTCACCCACACGCCTACACCTACTCCCACGCCGCTCCGGTCGTCTCCTACGCCTATCCCTACACCTACAGCCTCGGCTACGGCAGAGGCTTCGGATTTTAACGAAAACGCTTGATGACGTCACCGTTAGCCGTATGGATCTAGAGACTCCGTTTTGCACCACTCGTTATCGGGATGCAATAGACAATTTGTGGACTCCACGATCATTTCTCAATTAAAAAGTCTGTGAACTTAGGACTTTCTTTAATACCATGTGGATCCTACTCATAATCTATTCACATCCTCGTTTACACAACCTTTGTTAGTGTCATTATCATAAGCACTTCATTCGTACTATTTTCACAATCATCTTCTTAATCATCGTCGTCTTCATGGTGATTAGCATTTTTATACCATAATAATGCTTATTATAATGAAGAATGGTAATAACAACAATCAACATGATCATAGCTGCAATAAATACATATTCACTGTTTTTACGTTGAGACATCTGGGATAGCCTCTCAAGACAGCAAATAAGATTTACTCTTAAGAAAGGGACTAGAATTGCCAATTAGTTGACATCTAAAGGTAGAAATCAAACATTATAATGCCATAACTTCTCTCTGTCTCTCTCTCTCTCTCTCTCTCTCTCTCTCTCTCTCTCTCTCTCTTCTCTCTCTCTCTCTCTCTCTCTCTTTTTTTTTTTTTTTTTTTTGCTGTGAGGGGATATATGAACCCTCATAAAATTGAACAGAACAAAGGCAACGTAAGTTTAATGCATCCTAAACCAGACAACCTGCACGCAAGGTGTGAACCGTCGAAGCTTCGTCAATAAAGTAAATAAATAAGTGCAAAGCCAGAAGCCTTACACGTTGGTTACACACACACGAGCATAAAAACTTAGCATTACAAGATCAATAATATCGCGGGACATCATGATCTTGTAATCCTTATTCCGTTGTTATTATCATTATTGTTCTTGATGTTATTGCAATGCTGTGACTGGTATTCTTATCACCGTTATTATAATTATTCTATTCTTAGCATAATTATTTTCTGTAGCTGTTATATTATAATTATCATACATAACACATAAGTAATATAGGTATAATGCATACATTATTTATATATGTATATAGGGATAGATAGAATGATAGATATATATACGTCTGTTATATGCAATACATATATACACATTCATATATATATATATATATATATATATATATATATATATATATATATGCATGCAGATATCCATAAAGACAAAAACAGTACATAGGTACATATACATACAAATACACACACACATATATATACATACAGATATATGCATGTATGCATATGTGTGTACATATACAAGGATACATATATACTTTTATAAATATCCATCTCTCTCTCTTTTCTCTCTCTCTCTCTCTCTCTATATATATATATATATATATATATATATATATATATATATATATATATATATATATGTGTGTGTGTGTGTGTGTGTGTGTGTGTGTGTGTGTGTGTGTGTGTGTGTGTGTGTGTGTTTATATATTAAATGTATATATATGTATATGTACATAAAGACAAAAATAATACATAGATACATATATATACATACACACATATACATAGATATGTATGCATATGTATGTATATACATATACGAGGATACATATATTCTTTATAAATATCCATGTATCTTTCTCTCTTTATTATTATATATATGTGTGTATGTATTTATATATTAAAATATACATATTCATATGTATACGTTCATGTAATATATATAGATATCAAATATACATGTGTGTATTTACACACACACACACACACACACACACACACACACACACCACACACATATATATATATATATATATATATATATATATATATATATATATATGTATGTATGTATGTATATATATATGTAAATATATACATATGTATACATATAAATTTACACATATATATGTCCTTGTTCATACGTGCGTATGTGTGTTTGTGTGCATCTATGGAACTCGAATTTAATTTACATGGTGGGCTACACTTATCTGATTTTTTTTTTTTTTTTTTTTTTTAATGTGCGAGAGTATGTATGTGTGCGTTTATCCGTGTATGCCAAAAATGCTTTTAATTCTTCGTACTATATGTCATCGCTCCCATCGTCGATTCCTCCGGAGGTCAGCCGTCCTGCAAGTCCAAGAAATTTAGCGACTTCCACCGACACACACGTTCACTGGCAATCGCAAAAGCAACAAACATGAAGTCATTGGTTAGTAATTTCTATAATTCTTAACTATGTATTACTTTATGGGATCTTTTTTTTCACCACCAATTGGGATTTTTAGACGATTTTAAATTCTTATATACTGCTAGTGTAACTGGAACCCAAATAATGTTAAACTTTAACCCGTTCCACCTTGAAATAAAAGGTGGTAAATTTACAAAAAAGAAAAAAAGAAAAAAGAAGAAAACTCTTGCAGACAGTCGTCCACTTGCAATCACAAAAGAAACAAGATGAAATCCTTATTAATTTAGCAATTTTCTCCAGTGGAGAAGCGAGAGGCGGACGCCGACCCTAGCCTCCCCTTCTACGGTCAGACTTATGGCTACCCTAGCTACTACCGAGGCTACGGCTACCCATACAGCTACTCCCACGCCCTCCACAAGAGGTCGGCTGATCCTGAACCCGATGCTGATCCTTCCCTCCTGTACAATTACTACCGCCCTTACTCTGCAGGTTATGGCTACGTTCGCCCTTACACCTACGGCTATCCCTACAGCCACGCCCACGCCCTCCACAAGAGGTCGGCCGAACCAGAAGCTGACGCCTCCGTTGTTCACCCGCACACTTACTCCTACACCCACGCCGCTCCTGTCGTCTCCTACGGCTATCCCTACACCTACGGCTATGGCTACCGCAGGGGCTATGGATATTAACTCTGAAGACACTTCGTCACTTGCTACCAGTAATAGCATGGATCTCGAATTCCTTTTTGCATCACTTGTTGCCAGGATGTAATAAATGTTCTCCCCAATAAAGCATCAATGAATTCTCCACTTTTGACTGGACCATATTCTTCGAAATATAAACTATTTATTTTAGCTTTATAAATTCCAGTAGTCAGTATTTATTTGCAAATTGTGGGACTTCCGTAGCATATTCAACAAAGCTCTGATCAAGCATAAGAAGGATACGAATACTGATTTAATATTTTTGTCTCTTCAAAGATCTGACAACATCTGAACATAAATGCGATTGGCTGGTGACTTCGTTGCCAGACGTTGAATGAATTTCGGAAAAAAAAATATCTACAATCTCATTTCACACAGCACGGGCAAGTATCTACTTCCCTCTCTCTATGCTTCTTCCACCTTCTTTATCCCGCTCTGGGATTGGTCAGACACTCTTAGAAGGGCACGCCCTAACTGCTGTAGATGACCACTGACCAACGAGCCATCCTCCAGCGCTCGTGACCTCTGACACGCTCGTGACCTCTACACTATCTCTGCTTCCCTTCCTCTTTCGCTTCTCTCTGTGCTTCCCTTCCACCTTCTTTATCCATCTCTTTCTCTGCCCCCCCCCTCTCTTCACTCTACTTCCCTCTTCACTCTCTACTTCCCTAAGCCTCTCCTGCTCTCTCTCTCTTTCTCTCTGCCTTGCATCCCTCTCTTATTCTCTTTCTTTTTCTTTCTCTCTCTCTCTCTCTTTCAGCCGGTAAATAACCTCTTAAAATA